TTTAGAGTTTGGGGCTGTGGTGTTCGCCCTCAAGATTTGGCGGCATTACCTCTACGGGGTCCATTGTATCATTTACACAGACCACAAGAGTTTGAGGTACTTCATAGATCAGCCTAATCTGAATATGAGGCAGCATCGGTGGTTAGATGTGGTGAAGGACTACAATTTTGAAATCCTTTACCACCCGGGCAAGGCCAACGTAATTGTCGATGCCCTGAGCCGCAAGGCGGTAGCGGGCCCTAATCCGAGACATATGTTTGATGATGACAGTGATTACTCCATTGTTGGAGCATATCCGAGAGGCACAGACCGAGGGCCTGAAGGAGGAGCACTGTTAGTGCAAGCGGATCATAGGCCAGGTGGCCTCATTTGATTACGACAATCATGGATTGCTAAACCTGCATGGAAGGGTCTAGGTTTCGTATTGGGGTGGAGTACGGCAGATATTGATGGATAAGGCCCACAAGTCCAGGTTTTCTATCCATCTTATGGCAACAAAGATGTACAATGATCTTTTACCTAATTACTTGTGGCCCTGTATGAATCGGGATGTGTCCTAGTATGTGGAGAGATGTCTGGCCTGCAGGAAGGTCAAGGCAGAGCACAAGAGTCCTCATGGCAAGATGCAACCGTTAAACATCCCCATATGGAAGTGGGAGGACACTACTATGGATTTCATCACTAAGCTTCACAGGACTGCACGTGGGGTCGATTTGATATGGGTCATAGTGGATAGGTTGACCAAGATCCCTCACTTTATCCCGATCCAGGAGAGCATATCGGTCGAGAAGCTGGCTGAGATTTATGTGCAAGAGGTAGTGGCACGTCATGGAGTACCTGTCTCAGTGGTGTCAGACCGAGATGTCTGTTTTACTTCCAGATTTTGGAAGCGGTTTCACGATGAGATGGGTACTCGTCTTCACTTCAGCATTGTTTTCCACCCCAAACCGATGGACAGAGCGAGAGGACGATCCAGACTCTCGAGGACATGTTGTGTGCATGTGTTTTAGATTTCGGTGGCAGTTGGAATACATATCTTCCGTTAGCAAAATTTTCGTATAACAACAGTTACCATGCCAGTATAGACCGACCTCCCTTCGAGATGCTCTATGGGAGGAAGTGTAGGACCCTAATATGTTGGGGTGAGGTCAATCATAGGGTCATGGGGAGTACGGAGGTAGTAATGAAGACCACATAATGGATCCAACATGTCCGGAGCAGGCTCCAGACTACTTAGGGTCGACATAAGAGTTACATCGACAATCGGCATTCAGACTTGGAGTTTCGGGCGGGCGACATGGTCCTCCTGAAGGTGTCACCCTAGAAGGGTGTCTTCTAGTTCCGGAAACGGGGCAAGTTGGGCCCCAGGTATATCGGCCCCTTTAAAGTCATAGCCCAGGTGAGCAAGGTAGCGTACAGAATGGATCTTCCTGCTGATCTCAGCCAGATCCATAACACTTTCCATGTTTCCCATCTACGGAAGTGCTTGGCGGATGACACGACGGTTGTACCCTTAGAGGATATTCAGGTTGATGACAGCCTGAATTACATTGAGAGACCGGTGGTAATTCTTGATTACAAGACGAATGCACTGAGGAATAAGAGGGTTGAGCTAGTGAAGGTGCAGTGGCAGCACCGTAAGGATTCAGAGTGGACATGGGAGCCTGAGGAAGAGATGAGGGAGCACTACCTAGAGTTGTTTTCAGATGCAGCAAACTTCGAGGACGAAGTCCCTGACTTGGCGGGTAGCTCAGTCAGGGTGAAACACTAATTTTGGGGTTTTTCACCCTATTTAAACACCTTAATGCCCACCCTTAGCCTTATATGCAGTCTCCTTGTTCCAAACCCTCAGCTACGAAATGCTAGAGTGCTTTTTGAGTGTGTGAGCCACTTTTGAGTGTTATTTGTGCCTTTTGAATCTTGTGGAAGAAGAAGAAGTTGGAGGACTCAAGAGAGAAACAGTAGATCCAGAAGATTCATCCCTTTAGCTGCATTTTTTGGTAATAAAGCCTCAAACTTGATCATTTTCTTCTTAGATCTATTTATAACCTCTTTATGTGGGTTTTTGGTCCAAGATTTGCTAGCTTGTAGGTAAGGATCGACCCAAGAATTTCTCTTCCAGATCTAGTGTCTAGAGAGGTTGTGAGGACATAAAGGTGAAAACTTTATGCCCTTAGAGCCCCCATGCAAGTTCTAAAGACGTATTTACGGCCTTTTGAGCTCAAAAAGGCCATGCATGGAAGCAAGCTTAATAATTTTATAGCTAGGCCCTATATCTAGGTTTGCATGCGTGGATTTGAGATTCTAAAGCTTTTTGGACAAGATCCATGTCCTAAAGGAATTAGGGTTTTGTTTAAACCCTTTAAGAAGAGTTATGAACAGGTAAAGTTGTAAATGTTAGCCTTAGAAAGGCCATTCCCATGAGCAAACGAACTAAGGACCTTGGATCTAGGAGATAGGGGATTAATCTTTTAAGATGGCAAAACAGACAGAGGGACTCATTGAGTCCATAAGAGAACTCGACGAGTCGAGTTGTGTTGTCCCGATTTTTGTATGTTTGAACTCAACGGGTCTAAAGAGACTCAACGAGTTGATTTGCCAAGTCGTGACTGAGCAGCTCGATAAGACTCGACAAGTCGGGGGAATGACTCGGCGAGTTGAGTCGCGATTCCAGGATTTATGAGTTACAGAACTCGGCGAGTTGAAGGTTTGACTCGGCGAGTTGTTCAACCCAGAAGGTTGACTTTGACTGAAGCGTTGACTTTGACCAGGGGTAAAATGGTAATTTTACCCTTATTTGGATTTTTAGTCTTCTGAACAAGTATTTTTGTATAGAGTTAGCCGGGAGTCAGAGGAGCAGCTAGCAGAGATTCCTCACGCACGAGATCAGCATCCAGTTTGAGAGGTGAGTTTTCCTCTAGTAGAACCGGTCGAAGGCACCAAGGTCAGCCCGTATATGTTATGTGTATGACAAGTAGCTGAGTGTGGGCGGGGGCCGTATCTCCTAGTTAGTAGAGTGTGGGCATGGCCTATATCTCATAGCATTATTTGAGTATGGATATATATATATATATATATATATATATATATATATATATGTATATGTATATATATATATATATATGTATATATATATATATATATGTATATATATATATATGAGTGTTGGATAGTTGTGGATGTACTTGTTGTCTGTGTGATACTTGTATGCATGTTAGTAGCTGAGTGTGGGCGGGGCCTATATCTTCTAGTTGCATGTATATGCATATGGTATGTGGTGATTTGGGGAGCTCACTAAGTTTCGTGCTTACAGTTTTCAGTTTTGGTTTCAGGTACTTCAGCTAGCAAAGGGAAGGGTTCGGGATGATCACATGGCACACACCACAGTTTTCTAGCCTAAGAGATTTACTGATGTTTGATATGAGATTTTGATATGTTAACAAATATTATGATATTTTGAGATACATCGTTTACGATTTTATACTATGGTGATAATATTTATGGTTCTAATAATGACTTAAAAATGAAAAAAAATTGACTGTATTTTTGGGATGTTTTAGAAACCCACTCTTCAACCCTATTCATTTTGTCTCCTCTCCCACCACTACCGAATACTCACTCACTCAGTCTTTGGTCCCCCCCCCCCTAAACTTGTGAATATCTTTACTGATTCGATTGCAACCTCCCCAACTCCTACATCCTTCTCACCTTCGGTTACATCACCATTGGTTCCTCCCAACCCTACTCATTCTGCCACCACTAATACCCACCCTATGGCTACCCGTGCAAGACATGACAGCACAAATCCAATTCAAAAGCTCAACCTTCATAGTGATGTTTCCTCCCATATTACTCACAATTACTTTCAACCTTTCTGAGTTCCCAATTGGTTCAAGCTATGCAATTTGAATTTAATGCACTTATTTGTAACTATACTTGGATACTTGTGACTCGGTCCTCTAATGAGAACATTGTTAATTGCGTTGGTTGTTCAAGAATAAATTTATTATAGATGGATCCTTAGCTCAATATGAGGCTCGCCTAGTTGCCAATGGGTGTAGCCAACAACCCATTATCGACTATGATGAGATATATAGTCTGGTTGTGAAGTTGGCTATCATTCGGATTGTCTTCATAGTGATGTTTCCTCCCATATTACTCACAATTACTTTCAACCTTTCTGAGTTCCCAATTGGTTCAAGCTATGCAATTTGAATTTAATGCACTTATTTGTAACTATACTTGGTCATAGTGATGTTTCCTCCCATATTACTCACAATTACTTTCAACCTTTCTGAGTTCCCAATTGGTTCAAGCTATGCAATTTGAATTTAATGCACTTATTTGTAACTATACTTGGATACTTGTGACTCGGTCCTCTAATGAGAACATTGTTAATTGCGTTGGTTGTTCAAGAATAAATTTATTATAGATGGATCCTTAGCTCAATATGAGGCTCGCCTAGTTGCCAATGGGTGTAGCCAACAACCCATTATCGACTATGATGAGATATATAGTCTGGTTGTGAAGTTGGCTATCATTCGGATTGTCTTTAATCTTGCCGTATCCCATCATTGGTATGTTCATCAACTAGACATAAAGAATTTTTTCTCCATGGTTATCTTCACGAGACTGTCTATATGCACAAGCCCCTGGTTTTTTGAGATCATAAAATAGTATCATTAATATCAACATTTTCTTAACAGCCAAACTGTATCAATTCTGCCAAGTAAACATGTTTTCCTTTTTTACATCTATGTTTAGAGCATTAACTAGTTTGCATAAAAGTAAAACCTAAAAAACAATTCTTTTACATAATGTGATTCTTTTTTATTTAAACTAATTATCATTTAGATTATTGATTTAAAGTATTATAGAGCTATAACAAAAATAAATATTAATGATCACATGACAAATGATTATAAATATTAAAAAAAGTCAACTGTCTTTGATCTTTATAACTTGCTCAAGGGATCAAGGGTAGTTTATTCTTAGAATGGCGAAAACAATTGAGAATATATTTTCAAGGTATTAAAATATATTTTCACCATTAAACAACTCTTCTTTAGTTAATATTGCGTAATCCATGATGCACTACCTTCACTCCATATGAACGAAAAAGGTTCCTTTTATATATTAATGCTTCTATAATATATATATACCGGTACCATTGAAAGAACAAAGCTCGATAAAGCCATTTAGATGGCTCAATTAGTTGGGTCCGAAGAGATAGAGTCTCTAAGAATTGAGCTTTCTGAGATCGGAAGAAGTTTAAGATCATCATTTCGTCGTCATACATCTAGTTTTCGTGCAAACTCAGAAATAAGTTGTGCAAACGATCATGAAGAGACAGATGAGAATCTTCTAAAGTGGGCAGCAATTGATAGATTGCCAACATTTGAACGTTTGAGATCATCTTTGTTCGATGAAGAAGATGCAGATGGGCATGATGGTAGAGGAAAGAAGGTGGTTGATGTCACAAAGCTTCTTCCTCCAGAACGACACATGTTTATCGAGAAGCTCATCAAACACATTGAAAATGACAACTTGCAGTTGTTACAGAAACTCAGAAAACGAACAGACAAGTAAGGGTTACATTGTTTTTGATCAATACTTGATAATATATGTAAACAATATCACCTCTTATAAATTCTTGATGTAAATTGAGATGTTAATTAGCTTATTACATTTCGATCTGTTTTGTTAGAGTTGGTGTTCAATTGCCCTCTGTGGAGGTGAGATATAAGAATCTTCATGTGGAAGCTGAGTGTGAAGTGGTTCATGGGAAGCCACTACCAACTCTCTGGAATTCCTTGCAAAGTATGCTTTCTGTGAGTATTCTAACTTCACGTTGATTTGATGGGCATGTCAACGGGTTTGGTATGTTGATCTGGTCTAATTGAGCCATTTATATGTATGGTCAAACGTTTGACCCATTGATCTAATAGTTAAGTTATTTTTATAATAATACAACAATTAATGATAAATTCTACAAGAATAAGGCTGCAACTTTATAAAGAAAATTTTAAGTAGAAGCGGTTGGTTTTATATATGATGACAGATATTAAAAAAAAGCTGTGAGTACTTTTTTTTTTATAAAATTTACTTTTATATTCACCTTTTATGATGATACTATTTTTAGAGGTATATTTAAGGCTGATTGGTTTGTTTTGTTGTGCCAAATTGTTAGAAATGCCAAATTGTAACAAAATTATAGCCGTATTTAAAGAAACCGAAGTCATGACTCATGAAACCATAGATTATACTATTTTTACATGACGACAAATTTGTAGTAAAAACTAAAAAAATATTTGATTGGTTTTATGTAGATTTAAAAAAGAATGTTATTCATTTTATGAGGTTATGTATCCGTTGCTTATTAAAAGATTTTAATGCCTGAATTTTTGTGCCTTTGTAACGTCTGGATTTTTTAAAATCTGGGTGCAAAGTGCGAACGTTTCACACAAATCATATCATATGTTTTAGATTTTAGTAGTAACAAACTTTTTAAATATAACTTGTTTTATTATTAAAAATGATGTAGAGTGTAAGTAGTTCGATCTACAACGGAAGTATTTTAAAAGATAAGTAACTTTTTACAATAAAAATTATAAGATATGGTTTCATGAGTCATTCGGTTTCTTTAAATACGGCTATAATGTTGTAAAGAAGTTACAAGAGTTCATAGAAGATGTAAAGACTCATAAGTCATTAGGATGGGGCTTTTACAATTATGAGATTTATTATCAATATTTCAAATCTAACGCTTTCTTTTTCCCAGGATTTTGTCATCATACCAGGTTTAAAGTCTAAACGAGCAAAGATAACGATCTTAAACGATGTCACTGGTGTCATTAAGCCTGGAAGGTATGAATACAACTTTACATTGCTCTCCGGTCTCTCTAGATACTTTAAAGATATTTTCTTATCCCAACTTGCTCATTACAGCTTTATAATAATATCGAATTCTATGAAAAAATCTGTTAGAAGCAATTTAAGAGAGCTGATTTGTACACAACAAATTTTTTTCGTACATAACAATTTATGTTGTAAAATGTTGTATTGTACAACCATTTTAAACTTAAAATGTTGTGTACGAATAAAAACTGTTGTGTACGAATCACTTCCATTTAATATAAGGATATAACGACAAGCCTTTTAAGTCAACCAAAGCATTTAAAAAGTTATGAGTGAAAATCATATCACAAATAGTTGCAATATATTAATAGTAACTCAAAATATTTGTATCTTCAATAATTAAAAGGATTTTAGTACTTAATTGGAAAAGAGTGTTAGTTCACATGCAATACTTTGACAAGCTACGTGGATATCTTTGGCAAACACTAATTAAATTTTGGTGTTTAGAACTTTGTGATAACCACATGATAGTTTTGATTCCATGTGTCTATGATTCTATCTTTGATTTCTTGTTTAAGTTTAGAAGTTAAATTTATATTATGTTCAAGTGAATTATGTTTCAAAGCTAGTTCTATTACCAAGGTAACCATGATTGATTTGCATGCTCCAATTTGAGTAGCAGCAATAATAGATACATTAATGTAAATTGGGTCTAATATAAATATCTTCCTTTTAGAAAACCTTACAAAAGATATTTGGTATATCATACTTTGTTGCATTAATCATCTATGGGAATTCGGAAACTAAATGTAACACAGTTGTTTAAAAGATCTAATCGGTTGTGGCTAACTATATCAAATTGAATATCAAAGATCGTTTTATGTGACTTAACATATTATCCGTATGAAACCTGATGTGAGATGAAATCTTGTAGTTAGTTTAATTGAATTTTGAATAGGCATTAATACACTTGTTCAATGATTTCCAGGATGACTCTGCTTCTTGGTCCTCCAGGATGTGGGAAAACCACTTTCTTGAAAGCACTTTCAGGGAACCTAAACAAATCTCTTAAGGTTTTCAACTTCCATTTTGCATGATTTTGTTAAGCATGCATGAAACATCCATAAACACAATAGAAATAACTAAAATTATACGAATATATTTGAAATGGAATAAGCATATTTGAGAAGATAAGAAAGATACTAGTTGTAGTGTATAGTTGAGAGGTATTACATATGAACTGCATTTACTTACGATATGTTCTTCATTGACAAAATAGATAACTGGTGAGATTTCTTACAATGGATACAAACTAGATGAATTTGTAGCTCAGAAAACTTCTGCTTATATAAGCCAAAATGATTTGCATATCCCTGAGATGACAGTGAGGGAAACACTTGATTTCTCAGCCCGTTGTCAGGGTACTGGAAGTCGTGCAGGTATGCTTGTTTTCCTACTTCATGCACACATTCAACAATATTGTTCAGTTTTGTATTCTATCCTAAGGAATGATGATTTGAGAACTAAATGAAAATCGTTTTCTTCTCATCAAGAAATTATGATGGAGGTTAATAGGAGGGAGAAGGCAGGAGGGATTATTCCAGATCCATATATAGACACTTTTATGAAGGTAACATATCTAAATCTTACAAGTAAAGCTTAGCTTTCATTCGATCTTTGCCTAAAGTTCTTGACATAATGTTTTGTTGTATATGGAGACTAGAGTTATACCTCCCATCACATAAGACACTTCAAATCATTTTTCACTATTCTTGACATCTTCATCAATTCAATAACTTGGTTTATCTTCATTATTGTTATAATGCTATTGTATTTTCAACATACTGTTTTATATAACTCAAACTTCCTCTAGATGAAAGAAAAAGAACTTGTAGTAATGTTTTTTGTCCCGAAAGAAATGATCAAAATTAATATCATTTGAAGCTATAGAATTTTATGTTATATGATCTTTCTAAAACGAACATCAAGATATTTGATGATGATGAACTTAGAGTCTTGAAAGAAATAAGATATTAGTCATGTGGTGTGGCCTCTCAAAATTAGAAAAGTTTCAAATATTTACATTTTAAAAAGGAAACCTAATGTGCATTATATATATCATACTCAACCATGTTTAATATCTCTAGGCAATTTCCATTGATGGACAAAAGACAACTCTTCAAACAAACTACATCTTGAAGGTAATTCTATTACTTCATGTATGAATATACATAATCTGTTAATTTTCTCACCATTATCATGGTATCCCAGATTCTTGGCCTTGATATATGTGCTGATACAATGTTCGGAGATGCCATGAGGAGAGGAATCTCTGGTGGTCAAAAGAAAAGGTTGACTACAGGTAACTTCTTATAAAGCCTATTAGAGTATTATCGATCCACATGTATATGTAAATAGGATCTAACTAACATCTATGGTTCTTTTCAGGGGAGATGATTGTGGGTCCCACAAAAGCTCTTTTTATGGATGAAATATCAAATGGCTTAGACAGTTCCACTACGTATCAGATAATCTCTTGTCTTCAGCAGTTAGCACATATCACAGATGCGTCTGTATTGATTTCGCTTCTTCAGCCATCACCAGAAGCATTTGATCTCTTTGATGACGTCATATTAATGGCAGAAGGGATGATTGTGTATCATGGACCTCGCAATAACGTTCTAGAGTATTTTGAGGGTTTTGGTTTTAAGTGCCCTGAGAGAAAAGGTGTAGCGGACTTCCTCCAAGAGGTAAGTAATCATGTCATCACCATTATCCCTTATTAAAATCTCTTACTTTTAGAAGATAGAATCATGTTTCTTCATGCAATAAAAGGATCGATTCACAGGTTGTCTCAAGAAAAGATCAAGCAAAGTTCTGGTGTCGAGATGAACAACCATATAGTTATATCTCAGTAGAGAACTTATCAACGAGATTTAAGGAGTCTTATTTGGCAAAAGAAGTAAATGAAGATATTTCCAAACCCTTCACTAGATCACAAAGCCATGAGAATGCCATTTCTTTCGATGTTTATTCTCTTTCTAAATGGGCTCTGTTTAGAGCTTGCATGTCTAGGGAGATTCTTCTCATGAAAAGGAATTCTTTTATATACATCTTCAAATTAGTCCAGGTATATTTAATATTTCATTTTTACTCAAGTCTACCTTCATTTTCTATTACCTTATTAGATGTCTAAAGATGTGGGTAATTAATTACTTCTTTGCAGCTTGTCATAATTGCATTCATCACAATGACTGTATTCTTTCGAACTAGATTGAAGGTTGATGTTCTTGATGCGAATTATTACCTTGGATCACTCTTTTATGCACTCATAATCCTTTTAGTGGATGGGTTCCCAGAATTATCGATGACAGTTTCACGACTTTCAGTTTTCTATAAGCAAAGAGATATGTACTTCTATCCTGCTTGGGCTTATGCAATTCCTGCATCTATTCTTAAACTTCCATTATCAATCTTGGAAGCCATTGTTTGGACAAGTCTCACTTATTATGTTATTGGATATAGTCCTGAACCAGGGAGGTAAGCATCTTATAAACTATTTCATCATATATAAAGTATTAGATTAACGATTTTTTTCTTAGAAAGTATGATAATATATATACTAGTATGTAAATTTTATTGTTGCATGTGTTTTATAGGTTCTTTCGCCAGATGTTGCTCTTATTTGGGATGCACTTCACGTCAATATCCATGTTTCGATTTTTTGCGTCGTTCTTTCAGACTGTGGTTGCTTCCACAACTGCTGGAAGTATATCGATATTGTTTTTGTTATCATTTGGTGGCTTCATTATACCACAGAGTAAGTTTCTTGTATTGCATCTTCTTCTTTTTTTCTATTAGAATGCCTTCGATAGATTAATAAATCAAACTAAAGAATGGAACTTGTTACATGTAGCTGCAATGCCTTCTTGGTTAAAGTGGGGATTTTGGGTTTCTCCACTTTCATATGGTGAAATTGGACTTGCAGTGAATGAATTCCTTTCTCCAAGATGGAACAAGGTAAATTAGTAGAAAGCTTATTTTGATATACAAACCTTAACGTTTTTATTTTGTTGTTCATCCTTTTGACTTCTCTAATCAGATAACGTCTACAAACACAACCATAGGGCTACAAACGCTTCAAAGTCGTGGATTAGACTTTGATGGATACTATTTTTGGATATCACTTGGTGCCTTGTTTGGTTTCGCTTTGCTATTCAACATAGGCTTCATCTTGTCTTTAAGCTACTTGAAGGGTAACTTCATTTTTTAATACTACATGTCAACTTTGAACGTAGAGAGTGTGATGCTTTTGTTAATTAATCATTTTGTGTAATACTTTAGCCCCTGGTACGCGTGCTATAATTTCAAAGGAAAAGTTTTTTGAAGTACAAAAAAGTAAAGGATCTAAACACCACAATCATCGAGATGAAACAACTAAAACTTCTAATACTCATGAGATCACAGAGCTTCATGAAGGTTAGGGTATTTTCTTTTTTCTATGTAGCATTTTGGCTTCTCTTTCTTCAATTAATGGTATGTATATGAATGATTAATGACATGCATCCTCTTATCTTACAGGAAAAATGGTGTTACCTTTTGAACCACTAACAATTACATTTCAAGATCTACAATACTACGTCGAGCCTTCACCTGTAATTAGTCAAATTAAACTTTTCAAATCCATAATGTGTTGGTTATTTGTTGTTTAGATTATGCTATAGGCGATTGTTCTTTCTTGTTCATTTGATATTAGGAAATGAGAGAGCATGGCTTCACTGGAAAGCGACTTCAATTACTTCACGACATCACAGGAGCTTTTAGACCTGGTGTTCTTACAGCATTAATGGGTGTAAGTGGTGCTGGAAAAACGACACTTCTTGATGTTCTTGCTGGAAGGAAAACCAGTGGAACTGTTGAAGGAGAGATTAAGATTGGAGGTTATCCTAAAGTCCAAGAGACTTTTGCTAGGATTTCAGGTTATTGTGAGCAAACTGATATACACTCTCCACAAATTACAGTTGAAGAATCTGTGATATTTTCTGCTTGGCTTCGTCTTCATCCAGAAATAGATTCAAAAACTAAATACGTATGATATAACTTTACACAAACATCATTTTTCCAATTACTTTTCTTAACTGGATGTAACGTAACCTTTTTTGATGGCGTGTATAGAAATTCATAGAAGAAATCCTGGAAACAGTTGAGCTTTATGCAATAAAAGATGCGTTGGTTGGGGTTCCTGGTGTTAGTGGTCTATCAACAGAGCAACGTAAGAGGCTAACAATTGCGGTAGAAGTTGTAGCTAATCCCTCCATTATTTTCATGGATGAACCTACTACTGGACTTGATGCTCGATCAGCTGCCATTGTCATGCGAGCTGTGAAGAATATTGTTGATACAGGAAGAACAATTGTATGTACTATTCACCAACCCAGCATTGACATATTCGAGGCCTTTGATGAGGTAAAAAAGAGATACTTGGAATTCTTTCTTTAACATTAAAATTCTTTCTTTTAAAAAGTATCTCATTTGTTACCCTATCCATGTTCCTATAGTTAATCCTCTTGAAGAATGGTGGGCGTATGATATATTGTGGGCCACTGGGTCGTCATTCAAGTAGTGTCATTAAATACTTTGAGGTTAGTTGGCTTCAGAAAAAAGATGCACGTTTTAGATATATATCATGTCCCTTTTGTTATTAAGTATGTTGTGAGGTTTGAAAATAGTAACTTGAATATAATCACATGAAATCTTTTTTGAAATAGAGCATTTCTTCCGTGCCCAAGATTAAAGACAACTATAATCCAGCAACTTGGATGTTAGAGGTAACTTCAGCATCAGTGGAAGCTGAACTTGGAATTGATTTTGCTCAAATATTTTCTACTTCGGCGTTATACAAGTAAGTAACACATTTAAGATTCCCCAGCTTTAGGTATAAGATACGAAAATCAACACACTTTTATGTGTTTTCTAATGTCAGGAGCAATAGAGACCTTGTAAACACATTAGGTAAACCCCCTTCTAGTTCAAAAGAGTTGTATTTTCCAACACGCTTCCCACAGAATGGTTGGGGTCAGTTCAAGGCATGTTTATGGAAACAACACTTGTCATATTGGAGAAGTCCATCATACAACTTGATGCGTTCTCTACATATGCTTTTTGCTTCATTTATTTTTGGGTTACTCTTCTGGGGCCAAGGGAGGAAAATGTAAGTTAAATTACTCTTGCATTCTTTTTTCATAATTTGATGATATGTGACGATAGTGTTACAATGCATTTGGAAGTACATGTTAGAGTAAGGGATCATAATAGAAATTAAACACATACATAGACACATGTAGATATATTTAGTGCTTTGGTTGCATGTTGAATCGAAAAGTACGCATGAAATGGAGGCACATAGTTATAGAATTTGATAGCTTACTCTATTGAAGCTCTACTTCAATTATCTAGGGCTGGTTGGTATTTTGTATTATTGGTATTTCAAGATAACCTAAAGAGGCATAATATGAAATTTTATACGAGGATAAAAGAAGCTATATGACAAAGTAATTTATAATGGTTAAGAACTCTTTTTCCTAGAACCATTCATTGAGCAATCTAGAGTTTGAAGCCAATAATCATAGTCTTTGAAGCCAACCTGTTCCCTAGTAATTATTAAGTTCCAAGAAGTATAAGACATTATAGAGGAAAGTCTCAACCTCATGTCAAAGCTTAAGCCAATAGAAAGAAAGATGAAACAATTATTTACATGTAATCATAACTTGAACATTGAGACAAATAGATTTACAACACTGCAAAACCCTAGTGAGAATGCAAATTGCTTTTTTAACATAATGGGAACAAGGGCAAGAAATGTATATGGGAAGAGTAGACTTATGGTTTTATAAATCTAGAAGCCTACTCTCTTAGCACATGAACTAAATTGAATCTTTATTATAAACATGGATGGTTTCTATGTCGAAGTTCAAGTTCCTTTATATTTTTTTTCAAATACACCCTAAAATCATTTGATATGATATCCATTTGTGTGACAGACATAACCAACAGAGTTTATTCAATGTCCTTGGTTCGATGTTTTCTGCTGTACTTTTCTGTGGCATAAACAACTCCTCTTCAGTTCTACCATATATTTCCATGGAGCGAACTGTTCTGTATCGTGAAAGGTTTTCTGGAATGTATGCATCATGGGCTTATGCTCTTGCACAGGTATAAATCTTTCTTTTATACATCTAATAGTATATACATATATATACGGTTCTTACTAAATGAATTGATTTTTGTTGTGGAGATATTTATGATTCTTTTACGTATAAGGAAATGTTTTGATTTTATCTTGTAGGTGACAATCGAGTTTCCCTATCTCTTTGCCCAATCACTTGCATTTGTATGCATCACGTATCCTATGATTGGATATTATTGGTCAGCCTATAAGATTTTCATGTACTTCTATGCCTTTTTGTGCACATTGATGTACTTCACCTATTTGGGAATGCTACTTGTAGCAATGACACCAAGCTTTCCTGTAGCTGCAATTCTACAGTCTGCATTCTACACGATATTTAACTTGTTTGGTGGATTTTTAATTCCTAGACCGGTAAGCACCTATTAATTCTTAACTTGCCTAATATTTAAGAAGTTGATTTATGGATTGAAAATCCATTCTTCTTTACATTTTGTGGTTCACTTTGGCATCTGAGGTCTCCAAGATTTACAACATTCAAATTCATATCAAATTCCTAATTTGCTAGAAAAGATGTAGCAAAGTCTAAAAACGAAAGAGTAAATTTGGTTCGTTGGTTGCTAAAATGGTGAATAGATCAACTTTATTGTAACATCGGTTGTTTGACCTCAAAAGTAAAGTGTAATTTTAGAAGAATCGACAAAGGGATGGCACTTGGTGCATAATCTTCCTAATTTGGCAAAGACTAATGAACGCAAGTTACAATGTTATCTGGCATAAATATACACATGAAAAAGAAAACAAAAAATGTGTTTCCCAAGTTATGGGATTGCAGGATTGAAGGTTTTTGTGAAACTTTTTTTGTTTTCTTGCAGAAAATTCCTAATTGGTGGATCTGGCTGTATTATTTGACTCCTACCTCATGGTCGCTTAATGCAATGCTTACTTCTCAGTTTGGTGATGTGAAGAAGGAGATTCTAGTTTTTGGAGAAACTAAATCTGTGGAAGACTTCTTAAGAGATTACTTTGGTTTTCATCATGATCAGTTACCACTGGCAGGGGTTCTTCTTGCACTATATCCCATCATTCTTGCTTCTCTATTTGCATATTGTATATCAAAATTGAACTTCCAGAGAAGGTAAATTTTGTAGGAAAACATATGCATGTCCATTTAAAGTTAGTGACTATGTGAATCTAGATTGTAACAAAGTGAGTAAAGTTCACAATTCCTTAATTAAGGTGGATTTCGTCTTCTATAGTAGTTGTATAGTAAACGATCATGGATGTTCATACCTATAGCAGAATATATACTCGATGTCAAAATGCAATTTTAGTTTTTGTTGTTGTATTATACTCGCTCTGCTTCATTCCAAAGTTATTAATATCATATGGTTTTGATATATTTATTTGACTTTGATCATTTCAAATGTGCTTCAAATCTTTGACAAAAATCAGTATCATTAAATTAATACATCAAGCAATATCAAGAAATATGTTTTTTTAAACATCAACTTTGAATGATTTTGGTCAATGGATATGTGGTAATTACATGAGGCTTCATGCCCTGAGTCATTCATGTCACCACCTGGGTGGCCTAATTAAGGTTATTAATGGGGTTAATGACATGAGCGAGCATATTGTTGTCGTTCCAAAGCCGCCGCCCATTGGATCGGAGGCCGACCTCAATGGTGGGTTTGTGATGGATGCCCAGCTACTTGATCGTGTTTTTAAACTACCTGTCACCACCATCAAAAGCATTCCTCATAATTGTTGTATGGCTTTCTCTCAGGCTTTGTAACTAGCCCTTTCCACCTAACCAGCCCTTTCCAAGGTGGTTGCTCATCCTGGATCCGTTGAAGTGTGAGTTGCTTTGTTAATTCTTTCTAGGTGTACTCTTCAAGTGTTTAGGCCCAAGAATAGGCAAAAAAAAGTAGGTCATACAATAGGAAGTCTTTGCAACATCGTAATATCCTGAGCACATTAGCTACTTAGAGGACTGAAGATGGTATCGCCAAGCTAGTTAAAAACTTAGTTGACAATGCAAGACTAGAGCAACAAGGCAAAAAAGAAGAGTACATTTAAAGAACACTAGGCAACACTAATATCAGACAATGTCTTTGTAAGGTTGCCGATGGACATTTTATAGTAGCAGTGAAAGTTTTATGTTCTTCTGGAGTTGCTCCATTTAGGGGTGATACCACGAAGGCATTAAAGGATAAGCATCCATACAAGCCACCACCTTCCATGCCCAACACCATATTTTCAGAGCCTCCCCTTGTAGTGGATATGTTGACATTTTCCTTGGGGGAATTAAATCCTTCCCTAAAGGTACCTTGTGTGGGAGAGGCGGGTTGAGAGCTCAACATATTTTGGATGCTCTTTGTGGAGAAGGTTCAGCTATAGCCAAATACCTCATACATGCTATTACATCTGTGGTTAATCTATGGCTAGGGGAAGATGCCCTTCGATTTTGACTGAATTTGTTGCCTTTACTCCTCTCACGTCGCTCTTAAAACCTGACAAGGGAATACGACGTATTGCGGTAGGCACTATATGGAGACGTTTGGTTTCCAAGTTAGCTATGAAAGGTGTTGGTAAAGGAACGACCAAGTATCTCAATGATTTTCAGTTCAGGGTCAGGGTGTCGGATGGCGCTCAGGTTGTATTACATAGCACCAATAGGGTGTTGAGTGAGCACCACGATGACAGATCTCTTTACATGCTTACTGTGGACTTCTCTAATGCCTTTAACCTTTTAGACAGATCTACATTACTTTATAAGGTCAGATTGAGGTGTCCTTCTATATCCATGTGGGTAGAATTCCTTTATGGTCAAGCAGCAAGGTTATATCTAGGCAACGCACATATTTGGTCCACTACTAGGGTTCAGCAAGGACACCCCTTAGGACCACTTCTCTTTGCCCTTTTGTTACACCCACTCTTGCATAATATTAGAGACAATTGCAAGCTTCTTCTCCAAGCATGGTACCTTGATGATGGCACACTTATTGGAAATTCGGAGGAGGTGGCCAAAGCGTTGGACATCATTACGGTGATTGGCCCAAAATTGGGCCTTCAACTGAATATCAAGAAAATTGAGCTCTTTTGGCCCTCAGGTGATGGTATGAAGCTACGTGAGGGGCTATTATCGGCTAACATCGGGATGCCACCTTTGGAGGTGAAACTTCTTTGGGGGAGCTATTAGTAGAGATGCTAGTTTCATTAGCAACTTAGCCATAAAGAGAGCTGAAAATGTTGTGAATTTGATGCGCCTTCTTCCACAATTATCTGACCCCAGAGTGAGCTCCTTCTGCTTCAGTCTTGTATGGGTATTGCTAAGCTTTTCCTTAGGCTGGGTATGTTCCAACCCGTTCACATGGAGGAAACGGCAATATTCTTTGACAATGGGTTGCGTAGGGGGATTAGGGACATTGTGGTTTGTGGTGGCCCTTTCTTTAGCGACATATAGTGGCAAATTGCTTCCTTACCCATCAGGTTTGGTGGTTTGGGTTTATACTCAGTAATAGAGGCTACCTCGTATGCTTTTGTTTCCTCAAGAGCCCAATCTTGGGTATTGCAAGACTACATCTTACGGGATAGCGACATATATGGTATGGATTCTGATTATGATATGCCTTGGCTTCTCTTCGTAACAAGCTTTCGGATATTGACCTTATCAGTTTTACTACAAAAGACACCCCCCCTAAATCCCAGAATACATTGGCGAGTGCCCTTTTCGTAAAATTGTCAAAGATATGGAAGTGCATATCGACATGATGGCTCAACAGAAAGTGGTTTTCCAGTGCTTACGTGCACCGCATGATCAAGATTTTCTTTTAGCTATCCCTATAGATGGGCTTTTCCAACATATGTCTCCTATGGAGTATCGTACTATCCTTAAATATCGACTCATGATTCCAATATTCCCAGCTGACAAGATATGTCGGGTATGTCATAAGGCATGTTTGGACTCTTTTGGAGAGCATGAAGTTCACTGTAAAGAACCCCCGAGGTTCAAATACAGGCACGATATGGTTAGGGATGTTTTTTTGACCTATTTAAGCATGTCGGGGTTTCCTCCAAGAAAGAAGAACCTATGAATTTTCTTGACTGACCCGGCAGAAGGAAGGTCAACCCTTAAACCGATTGACATTTTGATTTTTGTATGGTTTGGAGGGAAACACACATGCTTGGAACTTACAGGGGTATCCCCTCTCGTGGACTTGAGGGTTGGGGGTTTCACGGCAGGACAAGCTGCTTTAAAAGTTGCTACAAGCAAAGCCACCAAACATGAGAAATCGTGTATGGAAAATCAACACGTGTTCATACCATTTGCATTTGATACGTTTGGTCTCCTCGCGTTGAATGCAGTGGAGTTTCTTAATAGAGTACATTAGATCATGCAAAGCTATGTTATATCCCCTAGATCTACGGATATAGTCTTTAAAAGAATTAGCGTTACCATACAAAAAGGCTTAGTGACGCAACTTGTTATCCGTTAGTCATCTCACTCACTGTATGATGATAATTAAATTATTGAAAATCTTAAACATTTTGGAAAAAAATATCTAAATAACATATTTATCCTTGTTAATTTTTTAAAATATTATATTTGCCTAAATCCTTATTTTTGACAATTTTAAATCCCTACTTTTATCGGTTGACTATTATACTCCTCTTATAATATTATGTTAAAAATATCATTTATACTCTTCATAAACTTTCAAAATATTATATTTACCCAGATTATTATTTTAATCAGTTACTTACAAATTATATCAATTTAGCAATTTACAATCCTTATAAATGACATCCAATATAATCATTTGATAATTGAATTTCCATCGACAAGCATATGATGTTCAAATGTTGCATCCTTTACTCAAAAAATATGAATATGAATTCGTAGGAATGGAGCCTTAACATGAGCTTTTAAGTGAAGGTGATTCAAATGCGATTAAGGTGTGGTAGTCTTGCTATGCTCTTATTGTTGTATCCAACTCATAACAAAAGGACATTCTACATATGTTAGTCAAGTCCAACATCTACATCAAGACAAAGACGATCTCTAATCAACCCCACAACAATACTAAAACAAAGAAACATTGGGTTGAAAGGAAAACCACAACTAAAATTCCCTCAAGCCATCATCTGTCAAATGAGGAGTAACATTATGTAAGTTAGCGTAAATTACATATTATATGACTGATGAATCAAGTGATTAAAAAATGTGAAACAGAAATGACACATTTGATTCAAAAAATGCAACTTTACTTCAATTTCTTTTTGTTTCCAGGTTAAATTCCTTTCATAACATTATTTTTGTTATGTTTATAGTCGAAAAAAATGATGCATGGAAAAAGCATGCAGCATTTGAAAGCACAGTGCCACAAACACAAACAACATTGCATTGGTCTACATTTCTATGATGAAATAACTTCATGATTTTCCTGTCTCATAATCCTGCATATAATAGTAATGTTGAGAATAATTAAAACTCAAGAACAAAACATATATGTTTACACTAGTACAACCTGAATTAGTATATATTTTGCCCCCGTTGATTACTATGTGATTTGTGTCACTTCAACTTGGTGAACTAGCTTAAGAACCAAAAAAATGTATAAGTTAATAGTTATAAATAATATCAAGGAGAACTATAAGTAGTAGTATGCCATAGAAAATAATCATCATAGTAATGGATACCTTGATATGTAGAAAAATCATCTCATACACAAAAATGTCCAAAGTTAGCTTGAAACGCCAGTTGAAAGGAAGAAATAAAAAACTAATATTGTTATAAGCTAAGATACCAAAAAAACAACATAACTAAAGAGGGAAAGTGTACAAAAGGTTTTATTAAGTCATATGTCTTATGAGGAATAAATATAATACAAGAAAAAAGGCCAAAAAACGATAAATCACCAGTTGAGAATTGTACAAACCAAAAGAAACAAATAAGAACACATTTGGGGATGGAAACCGCTTGGCTAAAGAATTCCTTAATGGATATAGTCATACGAAAATCCTAAGAGTATCAGGAGAAAAAGATAAAGAGAATGTAGAGAGAGATAGAGAAAAAAAAAAGTTGTTAATGAATGAATGTATGGTTGTAAGTATCTGACTTGTGTTGGGATTCAACAAAACAAGTTAATCGACTTCAGACAAAACGATAAATGATTTCGGTAACACATACGACATAAAAACTACTTAAAAACAACAAACAAAAACGTGTAAAATCGGAAAACATTATTTAACGTGGTTCGGTCTAATATGACCTACACCCACAGGTGAACGAGAGAGACAGGATTGTATTCACACCAAGAAATATACAATCATAGAAGGCTAAACTTCACTTGTAATCTGATCACTCACTATAAGGAATCACTCGTATTTTTG